TTTTTGTACAAAATATGTTTTGTTTCTTATCCCACTTGGCTGGCCAAGCCCACGAGCCTATGCGTACTCATGATTGAAGGGGAAGGAAGCAGCTTCCGTTGTGATGGAGCACCCGTAGGTAGAAGTCTGACTTTGACTCCGTGACGCTCTTACAGTCATAGGTGACCGGGACCTACGGCTTAAAGGTGATTCCGAACCAGTACAAACATGCATGGCACCGCCGGGATTCGAACCCGAAACCTGTGGCACCGAGCGTAATAACGCTAGACACCCGGCCGTTCAGGTCCCAAATGTGTGAATGCCAACGGCACGCGGTGTTCCCAGGTGGTACCCACCCAAGTACTGTCCGCGCCCAATGATGCTTGACTTCGGTGATCTAACGAGAACCGGTATATTCAGCATGGTATAATATATACAGCCGTTATCTATTTATTGGAAAATGATATTTTTATCCGAATAAAATGCAAATCATTGAGTATTCAATGTCTTTTTAATTGATCCGTAGTTTTGAACAGGACTGCTTAAAATATTTTTTCCAAATTCATGTTCCATTAACCTGTGCTTCATTATATTTGCTGGCGTTGAATCTCCACATTTGATTCCTCAGCACTTTAAAAAAGATCTTTCTATTCAGCAAGTTCTCTTCGGAGTAAAAAGATTTCCCTTTATCTCGGAATGAAGCTAGAATTGATTCATTTGATTTAAGCGGATTTGAGTTGAGGAGGAAAAATTGCTGCGCTTGCCATTTTTCTTTTTCTTAAGAACTTTTTTCGCTTTTGAATTTCCGAACACATGTATTCTCTTCTAACCTCGCATAATGAATGGTTTGAGAATCAATTAAAGATATCAACGTTGTCTTCGTAGGATCATTTCCAGTAATGTTGTCAACCACCAACATCTGGCCATTCAAGAGATCGAACACTATGAACCGCGCTCTCATTTTAAGAGGCCTAAATATTCTGCCTCAATTCAATTTTGAATTTTTAGACTTTTATCAATTCTCACGATTTCTTCTTCAATCTCTGGGCATTGCCAACGTTTTCATTCTTTTTATGTTGGTCAACCAGTGAGCTCCAACAATCTTCATCATAACGAGTTGCGATTTATAAAGTTCATTTCGTTTTCCAGTTCGTTTCTTCCTCCATGTTCATGGATGATATTTTACGTTCGTCTTGTTTAATGATCTACAAAACGATTAAAATAAAACCATAATGAATATGGTTTTATCTATAATCTCTTCCCTGTGAATCCAATTGTGTAACTATATTTTATTTAAATAAATCTATTTTCAATGCAATTAAATTACGAATGTGTATTCCCATGAGTTCGAATATTTAAAAAGCGTTTAAATCTGTATTAAGTTTTATGGAATGTTGATCCTTTGTAGTACTGTTTTTTTTTTTTTTTTTTTTTTGTCCCCTCTAATGCAGCTGGCAAATTAGACCGCGATCTTCCGCCATAAGGGCTGCACCGATGTTACTCACTTTGTATTACCCAGGGGGCGCGTGTAACTTGATGGTAAGCCACGGACGTGGAGTAACAATGCCCCTGCAACGCTCTACGATCCTGTTAGGACCGGGACCTACGGCTTAAAGTGGATTCCGAACCACTACAACACCCATGGGCAAAGCCGGGATTCGAACCCGATACCTGTGGTACCGAACGCCAGAGGCCATCAGGCCCTTGTAGTACTGTAAAAATATGTATATTTTTTTTTTTCAATAAGTAATCGCTCTTGCATATAGAGTTGTGATTGATGATAGTGGATATTTTATGGAAGGGAGATTCTGTGTAAAATCACTCACAAAACAAGTAATACATATAAAAAAAAAAAAAAAAAAAAAAATTTTTTTTTTTTTAAGTCAATTCCTACTTTTTTTCTCACTCTATTGCAGAAAAGTCCTTTACAAATAAAGTTGAAATTTTCTTCTTACATCTGGCGCCCTCTGTTATTAGATACATGCAACTTAAATCTAAAAAAAAACTAACATTAATGAATTAAATTAAATTGAATGAATGAATTAATATTTGAAAAAACTGTATTCACATCCAGTGTCATCCACTACAAGTTCAAAAAAAAAAAAAAGAATGAATGCATTTGAATTCGAGTGGATGGAATCAAAAAGTATTTTATGAACGATTGAAAATGTGAACGAGATATATATATATAGGGAGAGTGTGAACTAATAGAAGGAATTGAAAAAACCGCCAATCTGCTACCAAGTGAATCCTTTCCCTGGAGAATGAATGCGAGATGCCAATTACGTGTGGTATTTCGGAGATGTTTCCTTTCGCCTTCGAAAAACCTGTTCTCAATTACCTTTCTTGAATGCGGCATGTGTGTATACCACCACCACCACTCTTCACCAGTTTTCCTCCTCAGAATACTTTTTTTTTTTTTTGTAATGCTATCATTTCTCGAGCAGGAAAACAGTCGAGTGGAATATAACTGATGCTGGACAAAATTTGTCAGGATTTATATGTAATTCTTCGTTTACTACTGTGTCCCATTTTTAATTTAAACTTTCCCAGGGCTTATAGGAAGGGAAAAAAAATTGAAATTCCATATTTCTTTTAGATTGCTGGCACTGTCCTTGACATCTGTGTGAAATTTTACGTTAAATTATTCATGAGTGTTTGAGTCACGCTTGGCTTTCTGAGACGCTGGAACTGATTCCGGAGATGTTTGAAATGTCTAAATGAATTGAGCAAAGAATTGGCGTTCAATTTTGTTCGCTGAAACGTATAGAATGGTGCAGAAGGCATTCGGTGAGCATTCCTATATCGGAAATAAATGTTTACAAGTGGCATAAACTGTTCAAAGAAGGCAGGCAACGCGTGGACGACGAAGAGCCTTCTGGTCGACCCTCAACCTCAACCGACGAAGCTCACGTCCAATTTGGTGCTTGCAAACCGTCGATTTACAATTGGATACCTTGCCGATGATGGCACGCTTTTTAGCGTAAAACTAAACAACCCTATCCCGTAAAAAGGCAATATCTCCTGTCTCGAAATCTTCCAGTAGGCAGACGGCCTTGGCCCACCATGGGGCAAGCCTAGTAAGTCTCTATCATATGCATTAACAGCTAGCATAAAAAATAGACGGCATTTTAAAATGTATCTGAGACTCAAAAATGTATGTAAATACTTTTAAATTTAATTTTATTCTTTGGAGCAACAGTTCCATGGTGGGCTTTGGGGCCTACTGGTGCCTGATGGCCGATTGGCTAGCGTTGGTTTGCATTCGAGTCCCGACAGTTTATAGTGGTATGGAATCCACTTTAAACTGTAGATTCCCGGTCTGTTTAGCCTAACGAATGTACAAGATGAGCTTAGAGCGACAAACCAAGCCCTCTTAATCGGTCGTCTCGCAACATTCGAGTGGAGGCAACAAGTTGCCAGAGAGACAGACATGCGATACACGAGACTTTTTTTTTCTTTCGATTTTCGGCCCGCGACCGAGAAAGTTTGCCCATCCCTGCTCTAGTGTCACCAGATGTCTCCCTCTTAAACGGGGACCTGAATGGCCGAGTGGTTGGCGCTCGGTGCCACAGGTTTCGAGTTGGAGTCCCGGGGTACCTGAATGGCCCGGTCTCCTATGACCGTGAGTTCACGGAGCCCAATCTGCTCGTAAAAGTGCCTCAGCTGTAGGTGATTGATGTGATGTGAAGTGGTGTGGTGTGGTACAAGCCTCAGTAATGGACTCTGATTTCAGCCCATCAGGGGCTGGCGCTCGGTACCTAAAACTCACTCCAGCCCATCAGGGACTAAAACATTACCAAGGGACCCTAAACTCAGATGTAAATAACATCAATCGCGCATTTCATAAGTGCACAAAGTGAACTATCTGTATATTAATCTATTCTTTTTATTCTTATGTTGTATATAACTGATTTACTAGTGTATATGCTCAACTGTAATTGTATCGTACTAGCAAGTGACATTTGTATATTTTTTCGATGCGTTTTATTTTGTTGTGTATATTTGTTTCACTCGCGTGTCTTTTATTTGTAACCAAGAATGTGACTAGTTTATTTTTAATAAATGGGGAATAGGTCATGACCCTGCGGAGGGGTTAGTATCATGGTTGAAATTTGGCTGGCATGGTGCTAGTGCACCGGCCTCTTGCATCTTCACGTCTCTTCCTCAACGAGCCTTTAGTATCTGGATCGGGGTGGCTGTTGCGGCACTGATCATCAGCGTCGATGCGCCTTCGGGGCAGGCCGACTTAATTTCGTTAAAAATCCCGGCGGTGCCATGGATGCTTGGGATGGGTTCTGAATCCACTTTAAACTGCAGGTCCCAGCCTAACGAGTGCACAAGAGCGACACACCAAGCCCTCTTAATCGGTCGTCTCGCAACATTCGAGTGGAGGCACCTCTCTCTAGAGACGAGGCAGGTTGCCAGAGAGACAGACATGCGATCCAGCGATGGAGTCTCGCTTCGAGAAATCAGTTTTCCGCGAGAACGCACAGAGACAGAGACGTCGCTTCTTCCACCCTAACACGCAGCAGCATTCATCATCCGTCTCGTTAAGTCTCCCTACACGATACGGAATGCATATCAGATGGCCGTCGAGTTATGGCTCGGGATTCCGGGTAGAGAGGGAAATTAAAAGGTTTGAACAACTGATCCCTCCTCAAACAGAGCGCCTCTTTTTTTTTTTTTATGCCCTTCGTGCGAATACGTCACCCGGTTGGATAACACGGCTTGGAAAGTTATGAAAGCGTTCTGAGACAGTCGTTTCTGCAAAACAAGACTGGTTGGCGTATTCGAGGGTTCGGATTCAGATGAAAAGGGGTTAAAGAGCTATTCCACTTATGTGGCCTCCCGTTTTCAATTCCTACTATCCGTTCAAACACTCGTTATCGTTATATATATATATCTTGTTCAAATAGTGGGATTTTTCAATTCCTACTATTAGTTGGCACTCTCCCCCTATATATCTTGTTCACATTTTCAACATTGCCAACTTTTGCTCCGTGACGCTCTTACAGTCTGAATACCGGTTCTCGTTAGATCACCGAACCACTAAAACATCACTGGGCGCGCTCAGTACCGGGTGGGTGACCACCTGGGAACACTGCGTGCCGTTGGACTTGAATGGCCGAGTGTCTGGCGCTCCCAAATAGGTGCCACACGGTTTCGGGTTCACCCACCCCGGCGGTGCCATGGATGTTTGTAGTGGTTCGGAATCTAACACTTTAAGCCGTAGGTCCCGGTCTTCTATGACTGTAAGAGCGTCACGGAGCAAAAGTCAGGCTTCTACCTACGGGTGCTCCATCACAACAGAAGCTGCTTCCTTCCCTTCAATCATGAGTCCATGTTTCTTGGCCAGCCAAGTGGGATTGGTAACAAAAACAATATTTTCAATTGTTCATGAAATACTTTTTATTCATCCACTGCAGTTCGAATACATTATTTGAAACTTGTAGTGGATGACACTCGAGGTTAATGCAGTTTTTCAGAATATTAATTCATTCATTCATTAAATTTAATGAATTCATTTTCGGATTTTTAGATTTAAGTTGAATGTATCTAATAATAGATGGCGCCAGATAAACTTAACAAAATGAATGAAAATTATTTATAAAGGACTATCTGCTATATTGAAAAAAATAGTAATATAGTGACTTTAAAAAATATATATTTCTTTTTAATTTGCCGGTCGGAGGCAAATTAAAATTCCATCCGCGGGCCGGATAGAACCTTCCTGAGGGCCGTAGTTTGCCCGTCCCTAGTGTAGGTTGAATAATATAACGCCACTACTTCTGTTTCGGTTTGTTAAAATAATTCATAAACTATACAAAAGTAAAATGAGTGCATGGTTTTTTTACAAAAAAAAGTCCGAAAAGGGAACATTACTGTTGTAATGTTAACTTAAAACAATTATTAGTTTAATGTTAACTGGTTGTGATCTTAGGGACCTGGTGACTGGCGTTCTGTGCCTGAGATTTCGGGTTCGAGTCTCAGCGGTGTCATGGCTATGTCTAGCGGTTCAGAATCCACTTTAAATTGTAGGTCTTGGTCTAATATGACTGTAGAGTGTTTGGCATAGTTGTAAAAAGACTTGCTAGGTATAACTTAATGACAAGCATAATATGCAGAAAATTTAACTTGAGCTTAACAACTAACATATAATTGAAATGAATACCACTAACATTGTAAACTAGTGAACATTCCGAGGTTACCCTCGGTAGTTATGTTGGTGTAAAGAGATCGCATATGTATGTGTATCGATGTTTGAATTGTATATATCCTGATTCGAACATATGATTTTTATCCTGAAAATCTCCCAGGAACGGAAAAATTAAATTAACGCGAATGAAACCGTGGGGTATCCACTTGTAAAAAAAAAAATAAATGAGATTTATGTAATTGTGAGTTTTCACTGACAATGGTTTGTAGTTAGCGAGCGTATGTTCGCTCAGAGCGCGTACTAGTCTAGAAATTATAGATCACGGCAGAAAAATGAAAACTGTTTTGGCCCTTGGTACTTACTGGAGTAAACAGTATGGCCCTGGGGCTGGAAAGTTTGGAGACCCCTGGTGTAGAGTCTCGAGCAGAACATTTATCGCAGAAGTGATCTCCATTTTTGATTGAGTCCAGAGTCGACTTGCAGTCAGAAACCCGTCAGTGAGGCCTGAGATTTGCGTGAAATGCTGAGTCAATAAGATCCGAATTATTATTGCACAGTCTTCAGGAAATGTGAGTAGCTTCCGAGATTTCAATCGTCTTGAAGGAGGCAGGTGTTGCGTTGCACATCTGGAGCTCAAAGTTTTAATAATTGTAATAAAAAAACTCGTTTTGAACTGTTTATTCATGTTCTCTTCGTGTTATGCATTGGATTTAAATTTTTTTTTACATACTTTTTACCCACCGCGATTTTCGGCCAATAGGAAGAGCGCAATTCGACATGATCGCACTCCTATGCCTTTGAGATCCGCCTCTTTTTAGCCACCGAAATTTTTCGGCCAATAGGAAGAATGATCGCACTCCTATGCCTTTGAATTTTTCGGCCAAAAGAGCGCAATTTTCAGTTGACTGCCCCTTGTAGAGGGAAAAAACATACAGGTGAAGCGTGGCACACTTCGTGTTGATATTCCAAATTTGCAAAGTTTGGCGGAAAAATGGTACTTTGGGCCCCTTAACTCATGAAATGATTCGGGAATTTTCTGGAGAATTTGGCTTTTGCTTAAAGTGTAGCATTTTCACGTTTTGGCTTAGAGTTTTAAACAGAATATCCAATTTATTAAGTATTCGTATTGCCTTGATCCATTCCTTTTTCATGAAGTTTCCTATTTATCACTTTTGGCATTTTCCCATGCCTATTGGAGCTGTAGAGTGCTCCTTATTGTACTTGGAATACTTCATTCCCGAGTTTATTCATCCGTTCCCCAATGGTCACACATAAACTGAAATCTGCTCGGCAAATTTCAACTTTTTTTTTTTTTTTTATTGTTTAATTACTTCGCAAGTAGAAGACCTCATTCTTTTTTTTTTTTTTTTTTAATGCAACTGGCATCATGATGTTCTGCCTGTAATCAGTAGATCTTACAGTTCGCAAAACTGATTTTTGCCAGCAAAAAACTGAATTAAATGCGGACGCGGAGTCAGAATTCCCTTGAAACGCTCTACGGTGCTATTAGACCGGGACCTATGGTTTAAAGTGGATTCCGAACCACTACAAACATCCATGGCACCGCCGGGACTCGAACCCAAAACCTAGTGTACAGAGCGCTAGCCATTCAGGCCATATATGACAGAATATATATATAAAGAAAGTGTGTATGTCTTTACTTGGATCCAGTCTTCTATCGGACAGAAATTACAGGATCCATGATATCTCAAGGATACATATTCTCTGATAACGCTATCCTGTATTCTGTATAACTAATTTCTCTTGGGTTTTTATAAGAATTTCTTTTGGATTTTACTGATTAATTTTTGAGAATCTTGTTTTTGTATAAAAATAGATGTTCTTGTCTTATTTTACTTCAAAATATTCATGAGTGCTTCGCCCCTTCAAGCCCTCTTACTAAACATAAACTGATAATTAACCCTTTGCACTCGAAGTTTTTTTCATTCGCAGCAACTCGAAGCGATTTCAGTGAAAAGATCCTATTCACATGCAAGTTTGATAGACGCATTAAAAGAAACGCATTATTTATAGTGTTATTTGCATTGTCTCCGTAGCGGAGCCCTGGAGCTTGAAGACACATTTTAAGTGGCTCCGCTCCGGAGCCCTCGAGTGCAAAGGTTAGAATCGCCGATGAGTACAACACATTCTTCAGAAAGAAGACGACGCGTTGTTCGCTTGAGTGTTGTGAAATGCTATATTCATGTGGCTATTTGAATGTGGCCATTCTTGTAGTGTTCCAATCCAGTGCTTCATATATATCTCGTGCATTATTAAACATTGACACATTCCTGAGTTTATTCGTCCGTTCTCCAATGTTCACACATGATAAGTTGGAATTTGCCGAGCAGATTTCAGTTATTTATTTATTATTTTGAAATCCTTCTATTAGCTCAAACTCTCCCTCTATATATCTTGTTCAGATTTTCAATCGTTCATGAAATACTTTTTATCCATCCACTCAAGTTCAAATACATTTTTCTTTTTTTTAACTCGTAGTGGATGACACTGGATGTGAATACAGTTTTTTCAAATATTCATTTATTCATTAAATTGAATTAATTCATTTTAGTTTTTTTTTTAGATTTAAGTCGCATATATCTACCCATAGATGGCGCCAGATAAACTTAAAAAAAAATGAATGAAAATTATTTATAAAGGACTGTTCTGCAATAGAGGGGGAAAAAAAGTAGGAATTGACATCAAAAAAAAAAAAAAAATTTTTTGAATATTTTTGTTTGTTTAACCACTTCGGAAGTAGAGAACCTCTTATTAAACATAAACTGATACATTAGAATGGCCGACACTCTACACTCTACATAAAAAGTAGACGGCGAGTTGTTGTGAAATGCTATGTCCGTGGCGAACTTCATCCGGCCACGTACATCAGCGTTCCTATTTCTACAGGCGGAGAGGAAGATCCACTCCACAGATAACGAGGGTTGCGTGGGCGTGCGAAAAGTAATGGTCCCGGCGTGACGAAAGATTAACCTCTTCTTCTCCTCGCCTCTAATTTTAACCTCACACTCTGCTCTGGTTGCCCGTGGTCTCGTTCGTTTTAATTAATTGCCTGCTCGACAAAGATCTCATGCTTATTCAATTCCTAGTATTAGTTCTCACTCTCCCTATATATATCTTGTTCATATTTTCAATCGTTCATAAAATACTTTTTATTCGTCCACTCCAGTTCATTCATCCACTCGAATTCACATTTTTTGAAACTTGTATTAACATCCAGTGTCATCCACTACAGTTTTTTTTCCAAATATTAGAGAATTTTTGCATAACATTTCTTTATCGTCCTGTATTTTTTTTCCTGGCGGATACAATATTAGTACATACATACACATGACACCCTGTGCTTCTTCTACAATACCGGCCCCTGACCGTCTATCTCGTTCAGACGCTCCTAGCGTTCTCTCCGTGGTCTGAAGATCTAACCGCATGTACTTACCACACTGGATAATAATTAAACCTTACAATACATAGTATGGGATGTTTTCTACGACCATCCATAAAAATGTTATCCCAACTAATTGAAAAATCTATACAAAGCTAGCTCTCTATTTGGATATCTAAATGATTAATGCGCAAGAGCGACACACCAAGCCAATGTTCTTCACTGGAAAAAACAACGCTTTTCCTCCCTCGCACCCTGTACGCAGAGCCGGATTTAGATGAAAAGGCTATTCCACTTAGGCCCTTTCACCTCCCGTTTCTTCTAATGCAGCTGGCAATTGACCGTGATCTTTTTATGCCATAAGGGCTGCACAGACGTTACTCATTTTACCACTACCCAGGGGGCACGCGTAACTTGAAGATAAACCACGGACGCGGAGGACTTTATTTGTTAGGACCGGGACCTACGTATTCCGAACCACTACAAACATCCAGAACACCGCCGGGATTCGAACCCGATACCTGTGGTACAGAGCGGCCATCAGGCCCTCCCATTT